TGGAGTGCAGAGGGAGGGGGAGTTGGGCACAGGGATGGAGAAGAAAAGCATCGGAAAAAAAGGAGGCACGGACGGAAAGAGCAAAGGCAAGAAAGAGCGAAGGAGAAACGGTAGGAAAGGGACGGAGAAAACTGCCTGGAGAAAAGGAACGGCGATCGTCGACGCGGGCAGGATGAAGAGAGAAGGAAAGAAGGGTAGAGTGCTCGTACGGTCGGCTTGCCGCCTGCCGCGTAGTAGTAGCGTGCCGAGCGAGCAGCGAGCAGCGCTGAACGTCGTCGTCGTTTCTCAGTGTCGCCGCGGCGGTCGTGCCAGACGGTTCTGACAGTAGTTTTTCGTGGTGCTCGCTCTCGATGCGTCCCAGCTCGCGTCCCGTTGCGAGCCGTGTCTCGTTCCACGCGACGTGTCACTTGGATTAGACACGCGTCCGCGAACATGTACGAACCGTGGGTCCGGAACTGATCAACCTGATCGATCCGGCGGATCCGTTTAAAAATTCCCGCGGCCGTTCTCTGCGCGTCGCGTTACGATTGTCTTCTTTACCGACCCGTCTCCCATCCGCGCGCGGATAACACGCGCTAAGTTCCCGCGTGTAGTGGCGAAGTGACTCCTGTTCGATCCTGTTCCTCCAGGCCGGCGGACGGTGCTCCGTCAATTGCGAATGGAATAGTGGTTTGAACGGTTCGAGAACGTTGGCGGGAACGTCGGGACGAAAACCGGTGGTGCGAGTTCGGAAAGTGTGACGTCGCCGAAGACCACGTGCGACACCGGCGCCATCCGCGTGCTCAATTTCGAATTTCGCGCGACGACGACGCCGCAGCTGCCGCGCAGCCGTAACCCCGTCATCAAGTTCATTGCCGTGGACCGTTGCCGACAGTCTCGCACGAAGTTCTCTCTCGCTCTCTGTCTCTCAGTGAAGTCAAGTTGAAAAGAAAAGAAGTAATAAACGTGGTTATTGGTGGCATTCTCTCTTTCTTTCTCTGTTCTCTCCTTTTATTTCTCTGTTGTTTCTTCTCTCTTTCTCTTTCTCTCTTCCGTGGCCGTGGAACACACGGCGGGTGGGCACATTGTAGCCGTCTCGCGCGGCGTTTGTACAAGTGGATTTAACCTTGCGACCGAACACGTGGATGCATGCCTTCCTGTCGACGACGCCGTGCTTCTGACCGGCGAAGCTGTCTGCACGAAAAATCCAGGTAAACACGACGTTTTCGTTGTTGGTGGGATAATGTCAGTCCGTGGAACGTTCCACGGACGATTTCGCTCGTACCTGCGCGGCCAGACGCGTGGATATGGCTTCAGGCGTGTTACTTTTGGAGCTGTCACTTTGACAGCTCTGTCGACATAACGTTTTAGGTATTTAGAGTATGGACATAGTAGGATACGTAATTATAATTACGTTTTAATCGTTTATATAAATTGGAGTTGTTATTGTTACTGTGTAATTTTATGCATATGTCCATGGTGGTCGGCATTTTTTCTCGCGATCTTAACGGATCGTAATCTAAAGTTCCATTATAAAAAATTAATGACTGTCTTTGATGTCAACATTTACTTATAGTACATAAAACATTAATGAATATCAGGTTACATAAATAGTATGTAGATTACATTTGAAATTAGACTTTCCTCATTATGCGCTTCATGTGAGTGCGTAGAGTCGGAGGACGCTATGAGGGTGCCAGCATAATGCAATGATGTCGGGGTTAAGTAGGTTCGCATTTGTCAATGTCCCTGTTTCTAGTGGCTAGAAAAATAATATTCTTACAATCTTCGTACTCTTAATTAATTTTAATGTGGTTCATTACATTCTAAATGCAGGAATTAAAATCAATATTTATTTTTATACTTTAGCTCTAAATTTGATGCAATTATAGCAGATCTATACAGATCTCTTGCGTGAATATCTAAAGTCAAATTATAATATGTTAGTTGACTAGTTAGTTATAATTACGCATAGTAAAATGGTTGACGAAAGTTATTTATGTAAACCGGTTAGAGACGTGCAAAAGTGTTCAATATTTATTTACTGTGAAATCTACTGTTATCAATCTTTTCGAGGGTCTTACGCATCGGGCCGCCTGTGGCGATTTCGTTGAGTGCCGAAACTGACGTTGATTACCTTGTTGACGTAACCCAGATTGCAGGGCAATTTAGTTGATTGTTTTGAAGATTAATTCCAAAGCAACGGCGAATCGTCGCCGTTTGCAGTTGCATCTTCATTGCCGTTTTCCACTGGACTCTTTAATACTAGATCGTTATCTTCGATAGTGATCTGTATATTACTCTTATCAGTAACTTCACTATCATCTGATACTCGCGATTACTCGTGAATACTAGTACCCCGATTAAATCAATGTTACGCACCGTAAGCGATTTCACTTCTTCATTAGTCGAAATTGGAGTTCTGCATGCAGAACAACTGGGAAATCATCTACTTTGGATGTCAATGTCTTCTGTTGTGATCATTTAAAAAGACTACTGTTCTTTGGTCGTTGAGATTATTAATTAAGATTAGTTTATGTGAGCATTGATTTTAAGACTTATTTATTAACCATCTATGTAATTGGGCATAATTCGGTAATAGAAGGAATTTAATAGTGATGGTGGAAAAAGAATTCAAAGGGTTACGAACGAAGTTTATTAATTAATTATTTTATTTTATTTCACTATTATTATATATTTATTTACGGTAGTATGTACTTACATCACGTGTTAGGTCTTCTGAACATATGCAATGTGGTTGGCTCGTAAATTTCAGTTTTTCTAAACTACTGAATAATGTGGTTTGCGATAAAACCTGTTTAACTGTGTTAAACTTGCATCCTTTCTAATTAAAAATTATAGTCGTAGTTGTATTACTGAACGATACTTAATATTTGAAAGTATAACTGTAATATCAGAATGGTAGTTATAAATATTCATTCTTATTCCATTGATGATCGACATTGAAGCTTCATGATAATACATAAAATAATTAGCATTTTGCATTATTTTAAATAATATAGCTTACCAGAATCTATGAATATTTCGGTAAATATAATTTGTAGTTATACTTTAATTTATACTTATTGAGACATTTCATATGCAACCAGATTATGTAGAAACAAGTTCGTTTTCAGTCATTAGTATAACCATATAAATAATGGAGCAAGTAAATCATTAAGAACAGTGAAGAATGTACTAACTTTTATCTGAATGTTGAGGAAGAAAAATAAATTAATTTTAATAAAAATCGTTGCTTTAATTATATTTTATTAACAATAGACTTAAATTTCAATATTCTGATAGTATTAAAAATATTTTAATAATATTGCAATTTAAAGAAATTTCTAATCGCTTGTAGTATAAATTTCTACGTATAAACATGCACAGTCCAATTATAAATTACTCTCATTCATAAAGGGCATTGTATTCTATTCTTACATAAGACTTACAGGAATGTTTTCTTGTCGAAAAACATTTCGATTAAATATCTGTATTAAAAGAAAGAAATACACTTACATTTACACCAATAAAATGATTGTAACGGCGTTGTTTGCGATGCGATCTGCTGCGAATCAGATCAGAACGAGTCGGAAAGGGTCTCGGTTTGTGCATAATGAACACCAACTACAAACGGTAGTAGTGGTTCGTAATCAATCGATTTATCGGGCTGGCAATCGGTATCTTCCGAGGACTCGTTCAGCAAGTATGCGCGATTCTCGAAGGCGAAATCCTGATTACGATTCCGCTCAATGTCGCAGTGACATCATCGAGGATCATCATCCTCTTGGAATTCCCTGCCGATTAAATCTGCACGCGTTGACTGCGATCTTTTGCGACGCGCGCTACTCCACGCGCGGGGCTCTTTAGCGCACCGAAAAATTTGTATTCGCACTTTCAACAGTCCGGTTTAAAATTTAGATCCTCGTTCACTCGCCTCGATCTGTACGATCTTACGCCTCACCGTCGAATCTTAATTCCTCGATTTCTTAAATCTTTTTATAAAACAGAGTTCGTGGTACGCTTACGTGGATTCTGAACTATGTTCCTTAATCGTTTGTAAATATTACTTTTACTCGAGAGAAATAAAACGGACGTAATAAGAAACGTGATCGTCTACATAATTAGATATTTATTTAAAGATGGGATTACGGGCACATACCAGGTTTAATTTGCAAAGAAATGTTTAAATTATTGCGCACAAGGAAATTAGTGTATTAAATGCAATTTATGCTTTGTAATCTTGCAGAGTATTTAATTTGGTGAGTTAAAGTTTCCTGATAAAATCAGTTTCCAGTTAAATTAATTAATAATATTAGAATTAGAAAACAAATACTAAATCTTCATCTTTTCTTATCCATACTAGATCTAGTATGAATAAAGTTTACAATGAGTAACAATATTAACAAAAATAATATCTAAAATATTTTTTATCGTACTAAAGTAATAAATTTAAAATAGACATTAATTTTCTATTCTCGTCTAATTATGTAATGACACAAAATTCAATGAAATTCTAATTATTAATATAAAATTTAATTTCGATTTGCCTTAGATCGTTTAATGAAACGTTGCAGAAGGAAACCGTGACACCCTTGGTCTGCGCCCTTTTTCCTCCATTTATCGTCATTTATCGTGATCTATCAAACACTCGAAGCGAGGCCGATACAGCGGACAAAAAGCTCCATGTCGACAAGCGTTCCGGTATCGTTGTAACGTACAGCCGTCCCTATTCTGACAGTTGTATTCCTTCGCATTATCGCGGCGGAGGGTTACCGCGCAGTAGCCGCATAGAGTGCGAATTGTCGTTGTGTCAGACGCGAATGATTGCAAAACTGAGAAGTCCGGTGTCCCCGCGGATCCTTCGTTCAACCCGGGGGACCGAGTTATTTCTGTTAGTCGAATCCCACGCGAAGCCAATGGACAATTTTTGCGAACGTGCTTCGCCTTTAATCAACGATAGGCCGCGCCTGCTGTTCCGTCATCAAACCCGCTCCGGAATCTATTGTTCATCGCGACATTGTGGCATGCCGATTGTTTTGAAACGGTTTCGGTTCGTCGGTTTCGAGAATAACGTAGTCGACGATTTGGTTTCGGTTAGCATAGGTCATCTTTCAAGGTGAAGAATTCAACTTTTCCTTCGTATTAACACATTGTTGACCGGTCACGAATTAATTCGTATTCGCATCTGCATAAGCTATTTCAATTTTTGAGAGGCAGGAAGTATAGAATATTGCAAAAGTAAAATATTCAAAGTTATATAAAAGATACGCCCAAGGTTTCATTTCAATTCATTATTGAAGTTTATTTAAATTGTCTAACTTTCATATTTAATTACCGGAATAATAACCGGTGACATGGGATTGCTTCCGTGTAAAATTGCCGGTCAACAATGTGTTAACGTCTTAACCAGTATGTTGTCGAAGTTGGAGTAAATTTCTTGTTCGATCGAGTTTGGAATTTTTTCTTGATATTTTCTCATTTGGAATTTGTATATTCAGTAATTAGTTCTGAAGCATTGAAAATACTGTTTTGGATGATACGAATCATTGGATATTAGAAATTCGTATTAAAAATAGTTGCAATATCAATTTGCTCCGGTAAATTAAATATCTGCGTGGCTGCGTTCATTTTGCGCAACCATTTTACGACCAACGTATGTATCTAGGATAGTTCCCTTCTGAAAAATGGAAAACATCTGGTGTGGTTGCGAAGCAGTGGTTCCCCGTGCCGATCGAATTCTTATGGGGAACACGTGCGAGCTACCACGGATGGGATCACGAAATTATTTCTTCGGCTGTAAATCGCTCTTACGTGATGTTTCCGGCGCGGTCGTCAGTCTGCCGACTTGTGAATGGCGGCTGAACGTTTATCACCTCCGAATAAACATAATGTGCGTGTGTTTTCAGACCGTCGAGTCACATAGATACTCGTGTTTGCACTGAACGAGACTTTTCTTCGTGGTAGGCTATCGACCGTGATAAGATTGCCACTTCGATTTTCTCCCTTTCGGTTATGTAGCGATGGTCGATCGGAATGAAAGTGTTTGTACGTCAAATATGACTAGTGTCTTAGGTCAAGAAAAATAGTGTTAGAATCTTCTCGTTTTTATCGGTCTTTCGAGTACTCGGATATTGTTAAAAGATACTGAATATCAATCAGCGTGCAATTAATCTTCCACTAACGAATAGATATCATATCTATCTTTGTC